TCTGTCGGAGGTTTCTGCAGCCACTCTTTTTGATCGTGGTTCGAGGAGACGACACCATCCAAGAGGCACTGAGGGTGTGGCTGGTGGCGAAATCACCACTATCCTCACCGAAATTGTGATCCTAAACTATAAGGAACTTATGGATGCTTAGCCAGAAAACATGGATAGTGTATATAAGGGGTTCTAGGATGTGGCAAAATGTGTGGCCATGATGCATGAAATGTGCCATCCTGAAGCTTTAGCTCAAGACCAGTGCTCGGCCAAGATTCCATCAAGCGCCTTGGCAGCACCCCATGTCCTCACGTGGGTTGGATTTACCCCAAACATGGTGAGTGGGGAATATTCTTTTCCAAATTCTAAACCATGGGATTTTTGGATAGCCACCAAAAATAGTTCCATGCCTCCGAACGATGCTTCTGCTTATCTGACGATTCATGCAAGGTTCTGTGCAGAGCATCTAAACAGCTTGCAAATCCAGAAATGAAGCATGCATGTATGCTCTGGAGAGCCTCACTTCCAGGTAGATTCGTGAGTTCCTTGGGCTTTCTAGTCATTGCAGAATGGTTTCGTTTTGTTTGAATCAATGATCTGTGACTTGAAGGCACAGCGCCTGCCTTGGAAACTGAGGCCCGTGAAGATGGGAGAAGCACCTGTTGAGAATGCGCCGGGTTCGCGCAAGGCGTACTTGGGACTTGGGATGGTTCTGATGAAGTGGGCCATCAATTCATATGGAGCATTTACACGCAATCTTAGAATCCTGATCTCTTAGTCTCTAGTCATTTGGCAAATTCTTGGATATTTCGACCTGGCCAAAGGTGCTGGCTGACGAGGTCGCAGCGCCCTTCAGAGAGGAAATTCGACAGGTGGGAGAGGACACAACACCTGTGCTTCCGTCTGGCATGGCAACCTTGCCTCATTTTTTAGGAGCAACCTTTGGTCGATCAAAGTCCCTTACCCAACATTGGCAGCATTTCATGATCAAGTCATGATCAAGTCATGATCAAGTCATGATCAAGTCATGATCTGATCAAGTGATCAAGTCATCATCCCACCATGAATTCAGTATTGATAAGGCATCCCATCTAAGTACACCATATAATACACCATATGAACCATCAATCATCAGGCAGTGGCGGCCATGGGCGGCGTCGGCCCAAAGTTGGTGGGCTTTTTGGCCAACACCGATCCCGCAGCAAAGAAGCAGCTTGGCCCAGCTTGGCGGAGCCGAATGATGTGGAGAAAATCATCGTGAATTGTAGGAGTTTTCTTTGCAATTTGGATGGGAATGTTCAAACCTATATCACCAGCTTTTTTCGTTCTCTGCAGGGTATTCGGTATCTAAGACTGTCAATGATTTCTTTAGGGGTTTGTCTCAAAATAGTGTACCCCAATTCCAATGGATAGTCATGGATTGTCATCATTTTCTCTATTATTTTTAAGGTGGCAACTTCGGAATATCCCATTTCTGGGTGCACCCATAGTGAATCATAGTGAATTGTGGTGGATCATTGATTGGTCATGATTCTCAAACTGGAAGGTGACTAATAAATAATGGGTCGTTGCACAGGCGCCGGGAACCAGCCCGGAACCTGTGAAGCTGCACCGAACCCTTATCTATTTTGTTTCGGCTGAGATCCCTAAGCTAACGCTGTTGGGCAACAAAGAGATCCAGTCATCCAAACCCTTGGATTTTGGTCATTTCTGATGTTTGATCATCCCATTTTTATCCATTCTTGATGGTCCCCAATTTTAACTTAGCCATGGGTCCCAGTCAAGGTATGCGGAATGGACGGGAAAAGCCATGACGGCGGACAACCTTCGCTTTGAGCTTCGACAAGTGCAGGAATCCAACCTTGAGGACGGAGATGATGGGGCTGGTAGGGATGCTGATTCGCACTGACATATTAATTTCCGTGTATTTCTTTGATATCCCGAGGTATTTTGGATGTTTTCGAAGTGGTTGGAAGCGGAGTCTTGCCATCCACCCTTGATAGCCGGCTGGAGGAAGAGCTTGAGAAGGCGAACAAAGAGGTTGATGCCTGGAGCTCAGCGACTGCACCTGGATACCTGGGATACCCTGAGTGGTGCCTTTCACATCTTTGATCCATTGACCTTTTTTCCTTGATTTGGAGGGTATTCTGCTTGGCATTGTCGGATGGTAGTGATGACACGTCACTGTGAACTTGGGCTTTGCCCTTATTAGATGCCCGACTACAGCGGAAGAATTAGGCACTCTGCAACACTGCGCAGTCAACGAAGCAGTTTGACAAAATCAGTTGGGTGTGTTTTCCGGCACTCTGGATCATAGACCCATACACCTGTTGGAGGGTGGTTCCGGAACACACATGTTGATAGGGATGATGATGATGATGATAGGCATAACAATGATCATTTAGTGACAAGCACTAGAGTAGCAACTTGACCCACTGACATGGGTGAATGTCATATTTTGCCGACAGGTCGATGGCATTATGATCTACTACCCAGTGTTTGGACAGCAGCCCAGCTTCCATGGTGGCTCACATGACGACTACCTTCGTGACACCGTGTCCCCGTACAAGGCCCGAGTCAACACCATGTGTGTGTGTGTATTTTTGGATAATCAAAGGTCGCAGGTCGCCAGCGTTTTTTCTTTGTTTTCAAACAGGCTCCCTTTGAGGCTTCCCCTTTTCTGGTTTTGCTGCCATAGAGTGAGGACGCAGAGGGGCTGAACCACTTTTATCGGCGAGCGCTCTATCAAAACAAGCGCTGCGTGGACGCAGAGTGCGTGTGCTCAGTTTTTCATGGACTGTGAAGGTACAAAGCAACTTTGTGCTCAGAGCAGGATGGGCTCAATTGGGGTATGCGACACTCAATAGTATCAATAGTGCGAGAACGCGGTTTCAGGTGAGATAATTGGTTCCAAGATTGTCTTTCAGATGCGAAGTGACAAAGGGATCGCATGCATCCAGACATCCACCAAAGAACAAGAACACTGGACCTTCAATTTGCGACCTCTCTCTTTCATCTTCAGGAACACCAAGAAGTGTGTGCTGCCATGCACTCCACTAGCTGTAGCAGGGAACTCAGCTGGATTTGAAAGCTGTGCTTGGTTTGGATCCACTGCAAGGGAATCTCTCCTCACGATGGGGAGACGATCTCCAGCAAAATTAGGAATGCGTTGTGTATTGCAGTCCATTTCAGTTCATTCGATTCAATGTGCTGGTGGTTACATCATGTCACATCATGCGTCTTTTTGGGAGCAATCCCATTGTTTAGTTGGTACTAGCATTGGCTGCTGGGGCTGGCGATCCCTGATGGAAAAGCCGAGGTTAAGACCCTGGAGCACCTGAGAGTCTACGACCCAGCCTTACCAGAGGGGCAGCGTATGACTGGCAAGACTGCCGTCGTGGTGAACAGGCCGGGTATGGCCGGGTTGCACACATCGAACACTGCCAGAGTGGTTGCGTGTTTGAAGCTCACGCTTTCAAACTTTCGTGGTTTCGAAATGGAGAATCCACGAGAATCCAGAAGCCCGACCAGGTCTGAAGTGGTTGGAAGGCCGGTGGCGGCAATGCTTGCGAAGCTCAGCAATTTTCTATTGGTGTTGGGGATGGATCAAAACTTTCAGAACCCAATAAATCTTATTTGGGGGTATGAACATCCATTTATCAGCTATTTTCAGGTTTATGAGGGTACCAGCTTTTGATATGTTTTGATCCATATATCATCCCTTAGGTTCGAAGCAGTCCAGGTATTCTTGTGTTTGCCCGAAGGCACTGGGAGGGTATTGATTGGTATATTGAAGAGGGGATGAGGAAGAGTTGATTTGTTGCTTGATAGAGTGGAAGAGTCCGTGGTTGAGTTGATTTTGGAGATGATTGAGTGATTCGATAAATTCTGGGTGAATCATTGACGACTGAGTTCAGCAAAAGAGAGCATAGATACCATTCTTGGGTAAGGAATTTAGGTTATGCAATAAACCTTCTGACATCGTAGAAGTTACGCGTACTTGAACATACGTCATATATCTATCTATCCATCCATCCATCCATCCATCCATCGATCTATCGATCTATCTATCGATCTATCTATCGATCTATCTATCGATCTATCTATCTATCTAACTGTATCTACATCTACATCTACATGTACATCTACATCTATATCTATATCTACACATACAATACATATTTATTTATTTGTTTGAATTTAATCTGAAGTTTGGGACTGTGCGGCAAGTGGCAAGCCCAAGGAATGATGGAGCAAAAGTCTGGAGCGTTGACATTGACTCAGTGTGACGCTGACACGACTTGGACGCCAGTGCAGACGGTGGTTGTTCACCCCACTTAGCTCAAGACTCGTTTCGGACTCTGGGGGTTGTAATCCCATGAAACCCTTTGGTAGTTAAGTTGTACCAGTTATAATCCCATCAAACTATGATACAATCGCACCATTCTGGTAGTTTGATAATTACTGATAATATCTACCATGATTTCCTATCAACATGCTAGCTATAACTAGTTATAACATGTTATAATCCCATCGCGTCATGGCCCATCACATCAGCCAGGTACATCTTCATGCGAGGAAAGTTGGTCTTGCCTTCCGAGAGCACCTCAGTGGAGGTACGGGCTTCACCTCCCAGCTGTGGGGTTGTCAGGAAATGGGGTATACCCATTACCCAGTTTTTTTTTTTAAATTAGGGAATGATGATGAAGCGATTAAGCACATTTAAGCACCAGATTTTGTGGCGTACCATATTTTCAGACAAACTCAAGTGGCTATTGTGGGGATACTTCCGTCAAAACCATCAGGGATACCCCTGTATCTTTTGTGAGTTTACTAAATGGGACAGATGATTTTATAAATCATGACAGCCTATTGTAAAACAAACCCAAGTACGACTTGAGAACTTTTGGGGAGCCCGCAAGTACTCAGCCAGGGTTTATTCAGGGTTGGCGGAAGTTTAATGGAGGGATACTACTTTTTCTTTTTAAGCTCTTTGGATTGTTGGGGACACACGCAATCACGAATCTCTGAATCAAGGTGGCATTTCTTTCACATTGTGTTTTTGGGAGAAGCTGCTAAGGTACTTTTTGCTGGAAATTTGTTCTCCAGGGAATCAAGCCAGGGCTAGAACCTTTGAAGAGAACCCATCTCAGCTCCATCAACTTTCTCAGCTGCGTACGTTATCAGCTTCAAACCTACACACCCGACTATCAGGTGCTGCTCAAAGTCCCCAGAACAGTGCATTGGCATCACTAGAGTCTTTGGAGATGATTTACACAATCATCAAGGGTGAAATTTAATTTTTCACATGACATTCCGCCCATCTTTTCCGCTGCCGACTGCTCCTTTGGCCTCAGACTGCAGTCAAAGAAGCTGACATTGTGATCTTGGGAGTGCCAAGTGACTCTCAGCAGCATCTCAGGATAGAGCAGGATAGGGCTTGACCATTGTATCTCGGAAGTGAGGCACACGGTTTGCTTTCGATCCCTAAGGTGTTTTGCGGTTTGTAAAGTTTGTACATTCAGAAAGCCACCCAACATGGCATTTGACCGCTTGACGGAAGTCATACACATTCTGCATGGGTCTACATTAGAAGCAGGAATCTCGAGCCTTTGTTCCTGCAGATTCCTCTTTCATAGCTGTCTTTTGTGACTGCTCAGACACTTGGAAAGACATCCTGGACTAGACCTGAGGAAAAGTACAAGATGGATCCATCTTGGATCAAGGAGGGGGCTGTGGTGATCAACGTGGTGGGTGGCCCCAGCTGACAGCATCAACAGCTCAGACCAATTGAAGTTGGCAGCCACCAAAAAACCAGGCTTTGGCACAGGATCACAGCTAGCTGACAACCTTTTATTTGGGTGTTGCGCTACAAGTACTTGCATTTTCACTTTTTTTGGAGTTGAGCATCATATTTTGACATTGAGTCAAGGAGCATTTCGGTGGTTAGCTTCTAACCATCCTTTTCCTACTTCATGGTCGACCAATGGGTTGACCTTTTCACGCCGGTTGACCATATCGCTGAGGCCACAAGCAAAAACATCGATGAGAAGGCTTTGTTGACCACCCGACCTGGAGTCAGGTACCGGAAGCCGGTCGAGGGACAGGTTGTGAAGACTGACATGTTAAGGATCTCAAGCTACAGAAAACACAACAAAAAATAGAAATGGAACATTTGATTCTAAGATAGATGAATTCCTTTTCTATTTTTTTCGGGATTACTGTACCAGTATCTAGCAGGTTTACTGAGTGATGTTCTTAGATGGCTAGGTTTTTGCTATTGATGTTGAGTCGAGGTCCTTTGGGATGAGAGTAATTTGGAAATTACAGTCTCAGCAGAGGCTTTTCCTTCGCAGATTCCCATGCTTGGACACCGCTTGATCATCAGCCATTGCCGTCAGCTGCAGGTATGTGGGGCAAGTTGGCAAGGCAATGGGACCGGGGTGGTACTTCGGGATGTTTCCTTCAAGTTTGACCTGAACGGTCGGATTGATTTGGCTATAGTGAATCAATCGCTTGATCTGCTACAATGCCATCAACATATCACACTGGTAGGTTCTGGAATCCTCGTAAAAACTCATTTTAGGGCACACTTCCGAGCGTCATATTGTATTACACTGGGTCTGCCCATGGCTCGGCCAGTAAATATTGCTGTGCACATATTTGGGTCTGATAACATTGATTCTTTAAGCCCAGGAGTTCCAGCTGAATTTCATCATTCTTCCCCCTCAGCCTTCTTGACCTGGGAAATATGAAACAGTCCAGATCTACCTGTAGTTTGACACCCAGGGAGCTACACCCTATTTTCAGGCACCAATCCCCCCAAAACACGGATGCTTTCCGAGGTCACGGTGGCCATGTTGGAGCGAAATCTCCTGAGACTACACCAGAACTTCAATGACAAGGCCATGTTGACAGAGCATCATGAAGAAATCTGAATGAGAATCTGGGTGTGTCCAGCAATGGGCATCCAGCAACGGGCATACCGGTATACCCCAAAAATTCAATTTTCATGAGATGATAAACCATGCGATTCTGGATTCCAAATTTTTAGACAACATAAAGGGCCGCCTTCTTTGAAAGCCTCAAACTTGGAGGCTGTGAGCAGACAGTCATCCTTGGGAAAGAAACCTGTTACAGATAGTTTCAGAAATCTGCAGACTATTGGCAAATCACAGGAGATGGCTCCGTCCACAGCAGTCCAGCTTCTAATGCGGATCATTTTTCGTTTCGGACTCCAATCTTATGGTGGATAGTGCTATACAGTAGCGATCAGTAGCGTAGAACAACGGGGATGCAATGCCGCAATATGCAGCAATGCATCTTTCTCAATTATAAATACCCATTATGTGTATATATATATATATGTAGACATGTATAAGCAAAATTAAACAACCATACGCGATACACCACCAATTATCACTCAAGATTTCATCCATGGCAGTGACCCTTCTCCATCGCAGGTCAAGGAAGGACGAGGTGGAGATTTCTACCTGGCGTCTAACGCTCAAGCGGCTGCATGGATGTTTCATAGATCCTATAGGAACCTGCGCCAAGATGGACATCTGCAATTATACGCGACTATAGCTACATATGTTAAGAATCACATACATACATACATACATACATACATAGATACATACATAGATACATACATAGAGATACATACATAGATACATACATAGATACATACATAGATACATACATAGATACATACATAGATAGATACATAGATAGATACATAGATAGATACATAGATAGATACATAGATAGATACATAGATAGATACATAGATAGATACATACATAGATACATACATAGATACATACATAGAGATACATACATAGATACACACATAGATACATACATAGATACATACATAGATACATACATAGATAGATACATAGATAGATACATAGATAGATACATAGATAGATACATAGATAGATACATAGATAGATAGATAGATAGATAGATAGATAGATAGATAGATAGATAGATACAAACATACAAACATACAAAAATACAAACATACAAACATACAAAACATACATACATACATGCATGCATGCATGCATACATACATCCATGCATGCATGCGTTTGCAATTCACATGTGTATGTATATGTGTGTATACATATATATATATATATACACATACATATATATATACACATGTTGTACATATCTATATGACTTCCAAATGCCACGTGCCAAAGCACTTCATATCTCGAAACTGCCCAGGTAGTGGATTTGGCCTGCAATGGAACCGCACCAAGTCGCGGCAAGCCATGGAAGTGACAGTTGCGACCCGCCAGAAATGGCGCTTTTGAAACGCAGGGGCCTTCTCTGACTGGAGGTCATCGAAGGTCACCGGAGGTCGGGTTCCATAGGCTCGGAACACGGGACTTGGCAGCTGGAACAGCTGGAACAGCCTCGAAAACAGAAAAACCCAAAGAAAAAAACCAAGCAGATATAGAGTTCTGAGGGTTCTGAGAGTTCTGACTTAGAAGTTGCTTCGCCCTGGAGGACGAGTCTATGTTTCATATATTTTTATTTCAGGACTGGGCCTTGGCTAAGTGATCAGGGTCCGATTAGCGAATTCGCAGAGCTTTTGAACTCCCTCTCTTGTGCTCTTGTGCCTTCTGTTGACTTGAGGCATCTCGGCCAAAAAAAACCAAACCCGGACCCCCAAACCCGATGCCTCAAAGCGACAGAGTCTTCCGGGGCACACTCGCCGTTCGAAGACATCCTGGCACTTCCGAACCAAGCAACAAACGGTAAAGTCACTAAATTCACAAATCAATGTATAGAGAAATGGTTGTTTGCCAAGACACCCCGAGAATTCAGCAGATGAACATGCCACCATTAAAAGCCAGAAAGGATCATAGAGATTGACAGATTGGTTTCTGAAACAACGGAAAGACCCATGGATCATCTCCCTCGGTGAGTGCGAGTCTTTTGGCGCTTTTTTTGCGCTCCATGACGGAGCTCTGTTGTGTCGCAAAAAGAACTGGCGGCCAGGTGTGAACCACACAGATTCACAGGAAAAACACAATCACAAACCATAATCATGGATAATATGGTATTAAATTGGAATAATCTATGGTATATTGATATATATATATATATACACCCATGGATGGATTTTTTTGCGGACCTCGAATGAGATTTTTGAAATTATGTTGGATTCACAGTAGATTTTTTTTCCTGAATTCTTCCAGTCATCCAGGAAACATGGTCCACTGAAGCGTTTACGGGCTTAGGAAGTTTATGTGGTTCTGACATGTTCTGGCTATCCATTTTCGAGATTGTCAACTACAAGCCTGATCAAGCAACATCTGGACTTTGGACTGTGGACGTTTTCCTTGTATAGATGTAACCACACTGGACACGTGCCCGTCCTAAAGTTTCTGCTTTTTTTTCAGCACAGCTGACATGGAGAGAGCTTCCTATCTTGTGTCAAAAATGTAAGCTCCGACGATTGAAGATGACTAGGCTATTGGCTGCCATAGAGCAGCTAGGTTTTTGGTACTGGCCAGTGTTGTGTTTGTACCTGAATGTGGTGCTTGCGCCATGGGCACCACAACTTTTCCATCTGAAGGGAGACATGGCGAGGCAGGTGTCGAGTCGAGTAGCCACAGCGCAGGTAAAGCTCTGATCAGAGCACGTTTCCTGTAAATGGATCAGCACATTCTATTGGCTGGTGATCTGTGGCATTGAAAGATCAAAACAACATCAGAGCAAGTCTGAGCATCAACTATATAGCTAGCTATCCAGCTATCTGGCTATCTATCTAGATTAGGTTAGCATTAGTTTAGATTAGACTATATTATATGATATTAGATCAGATCAGATTCACTATACTCGAGAATTTTGATGGTTATCTGCCGCAGCCACATCTCTTTGGAGCTCTCCATGTCAACGCTCACCTGTTCAGGATCCGAACGTCTTGCCTGCGCCATGCTTCAGTGTCGTGGCATCGGGCAGTGTGGGTTAAGCCCTGCGTTTCAGTTTCGGTTCGTTTTGTTCTGGAAGAATTTCAAGATACTTCAAGTATTGGAGGTACGGGGGGTACTTATACAGTCTTGTCCTATTTGTTCAGGGATCATATCTCGAATTTCGGCACCATATTTCAAGATATTTCGAGACATTTCACGATATCTCAAGTATCTAAATTTCATATTATTTCATGATATTTATTATATATAGTGGCACCCTATTATCAGATATTTATATTATTTTATATTAAATTTATACGTTACATTGTGTAGTGATGATCTAAATGATCAAAGCCATGGCTTGCTTAGCTGCCTTAGCTCACGTCCTTAAGGTGATGTCCTGGAGGCTGTGCGCGGATTCCTCCCTTGGGCGGTTTTGGTGAAACCAAAGGTTGGGTTTAAGTGAAATGATTTCCAGGGAAATAGTAACTTAGTATAACTTAGTAATATGATATGCTAAAGTTGCTAAAGTTATAAAATTGGCAAGACCTTGAAATAGGAAGGACTACAAAGGGCTTGTTTTTGTGTCTGAAGAGACTCTTGAGTTGGGCTTGGAATCCTCCCAATCAGCCTATTGGTATATTTTGTCGACATCCTTGGACTCGACGTGACCAGGCGCAGCGATGGGCAGTGCAAGTGGTTAGACATGCGGAGGCAGAGGTCCATCAGCCGCAATAGCAAGACTGAAGAAGATTCAACCTTTGAATCGAACCTTGAACAATCAGTAAACCACCTTGCCTTTTCGTGTCATTTTGTTTCACTCTTGGTTTTGCATGTTTAACTCTCAATCCTTAATCCTTTAAAGGAGTGATGCTACCACTCTGAGAACAAAAAACACTAACATTCAAGAAGACAAACAAAATCAAGCAGTGATCTGGTTTTTCAACCTCATGTTCTGGCAACTCATTTGCTGCTGAGTTCCCAAAATTGGAGAATGGCGGTTACCCTCTGGCAATATAACATAGCTATGGCACATCCCCAAATTTAGTTCTATGTTTTTCGAATATTTTCCTGAAGACCTCCATTGATCATTCATTTATCGGGGACTTCCCCATTAACACCTCCATTTTTTCGATAAATTATTTTCCCAGTAAAGCCTGCATTTTTTGGATCAAAACACATATAAAACACATAAATCACCACCCTCCATTGAATCATTGAACAGCATCCCCACGCCGTGGAGAAGTCACAAGGCTTGTCGCCGCGGCATGCGTGGATCACCCGCTTGGGAAGATGCCTGGCGCGATGCGCTGTGGACCTTAGCGGTACAAAAACGCTGCGTGGAGGACGGGTTTCCGAAACAAAAATGGCGATGGGACATTTTAAGGTAAGATAGGGTTATTACAATGAAGATAGGGTAACAATGAAGATATTTTCATGTAATACATTTCTTTAAGGTAAGATAGGGTTATTACTCATATGGGTATTACATTATCATTACATTATCCAGTAAGAACATGTAATAACCATATGAGTGGACAACTGCTTGGGTATTTGTGGGATGCACCTCCATTAAGAAGGCCATTTTCATGTCTGAAGAAACAGGTATTGACCGATATCCCAGTTTTTTTTCTTGCTTCAAAAGACACAACAGTTGGGATTGGATCGGATTTGGTCAAATTTGATTCATAGCGGCTAGACTAGATGAATATCCATTTCATAGAATTGGATGATGGGAAAATTTACAGGAAAGCCCTATATTTGATGGTAAAAACCCATGGGTTTCCTGTAGATTTTCCCAACAAAACCAATCCAATGACCATTGGATCTCCATTGGATCAACTCTTTCAAAGGCTGCAACTGATGGGATGGAGAGGTTGGCCACACGACACAGGTCGAGGCGCGAAAGTGCTGTGCAGCCAAGCGCCCTGGGGATGTTCCACCGCCACCACCGCGCTTGCCGCCTGATTTGGAGGCGTGACGAGATGCCCAACATCTAACCAGAGTGTGGTCTGAAAATGACATTTTGAATCGGGAATCTGATGCAAAATGCATGGATTGCAGGTGTATTCTATGTATAGCCATGCTGATCTAAGCCAAATCCTTGGTAGTCACAAAATCGACAAAAAGCCCTCTGTGACTCTACCATTCCTGCACATTCTTCGGCACCCCGGCAGGCCATGGCAGCCATACGCTGCTTGGTTGGACATGTGAGAGGTGAACATGTTGAGTGCTTGGGTGGTGTTTGATAGAACCTTTCCAGATCCAAGTATTGAATATTGAAAGCTTGCAGAAGCTTTGACCAAGACGCTTCTCTTCTTCCGGTGCAGAAGTACCTGAACGGCACCAATGTGCACTAAGAACATTTTTTCTGGTGGGTTTGCTGTTCTCGTTTTGCCTCAAGGTTGGGGCCAGAAATTGATGATCTCAACCCGAGCGCAGGTTTGCGGTTTCAATTACTAATTTCTCAAGATGTTCATAGGTTTTCCTCGCAAATGAGAGGATGATCCCAATTTCTTCCTCATTTTCGGCCCATAGCTGGGTTGAAACCACTGAACACCAACGAAGTTGTGTACCAAGGTGATCAGACTGCCCTAGAGATGCGATGTCTGGAGATGCGTCAGCGCGTGGACGGATTGGAGGAACGGTTGCAACTTCTGAGCCAACAATTGGAGGTGCCATTGGTGCGGTGGGGTTGGTGGCATGTCATCACTCCAATGTCTTGGAGAAAAATGGAAGGGATCCATAAGATCCATGAGATTCATCTGTCTCCGACCGGGTTTTGTCTCAAGATGGGAAGGGAAAATGGACGCTTTAAAGTTTAAACCATGGGATTTGGGTCCAAATTTTGAGACAAGCCCATCCCCCCATCCTTCACTCCTCCACTGCGTGGGAATGGTAAGAGCCTGACAGATTCCCCAGGCGTTGTTGGACTCGCATGCAGTGGCGCCAACCTCTGCTGAAGCCACAGCACATGTGGCTCTACAGCCTGGTTCTGGACCTCTACCTGCAGGAGGGGCGGCAGTGGCCAAGGTAAGTTCTATGGCTATGGATTGTAGGGATGTTTCTAATCCAGATTCACCAGCGGGCACTGCAGCTTTTGCGCATCGCTCAAGGAATGATTCAAATTTCTCTCGCACTCACAGTTTCCCCTCTAACCCATAAGATCAGTACATTCGCAGGGTTTTCCTGGAGGATAGTCCTATGCCCTATGTAACATTTTGATCCGTCCATCTCCCCTTTTTTTCCCCATCCCTCCAGGACTATCCTCCCCCGTCCCCTCCGCTCCTCGCCGCTCCGGCCGAGTGCCCTCGCCGCCCACGGGCGCCGCCCCGGAGCTCTCGGGGCTCAGCTTCCTCAGCGACGACCGCGACGAGCGCATCGAGGACTTGCAGCGACAGCTGCAGCGGGCTGAGGCGGAACGTGCCGTGGCAAGAGATTTCAGCGGTGGTACTTTTTTTAGTCTATCTCTCTCTCTCTCTATGTATATATATATAAAATACATACGTATGTATAATACACATATTATATATATAATATAATATAATATAATATTACTTGTACATCTTCACATCTTACATCTGCACATCTTCACATCTTACATCTGCACATCTTGCGTCTTCACATCTTACATCTGCACATCTTACGTGTTCTTGTTGTTGTTGTTGCTGTTGGTGTTGTTGTTGTTGGTGTTGTTGTTGTTGTTGTTGCTGTTGGTGTTGTTGTTGTTGTTGTTGTTGTTGTGGTCGTCGTCGTCGTCGTCGTCGTCGTCGTTGTTGTTGTTGTTTTGGACAACATGCGGTAGTCAAGCTCTCTACCCGGATGCCCTCGCCCTGCTGCCGGCTGGCGTGGGATATTACATAGCAACCCATCTTGAAAAGATAGATTTTGGTTGAATCATAAGTGGAGTACACATCCACTCAACGCCCACCAGCAGCTTTCAGTAGTACAATTCCCGGCACTTAGTTGGCAAATTTTACTTTCCATCGACATGGCACTGGTGTTCTGCATCTTCAGCATCTTCAACGCATGGATGTTGGAGGACGGTTCCGGTTTGACGCTGGGCCTTGCCGCAAGGGCCTTGCCGCAGCAATCCAAGGAATCGACGCTTCCCGTCGGCTGGTGTCATTGGAAGGGGAACTCGCAATGCTCCAGGACCGTCAGGAACTGTGATGGCTTGGCCACTCTTACTGTGGCCTGAAGTAATGACATGGTAATGACATGGTAATGACATGTCAGACATGTCACAACTTCCAGAGAGACGATTTGAGGACACCTTGGCAGTGGAAGATACCTTATTTGTAGACAGGTCGCTTATTTTGTTGACAGTTACTTGGGCATACCAGGTCACTCTACGAATGTTACGTGCTTTGGATGAATTGTTTGGACTGAGCCTTGAAGGTTCAACTAGTCAGCCAGAGATCCTAGAGATTTTTGATCCTTTTTGGATGGATTTTTCAATCAGAACCCCGTGGCACAGACACCATAAGATTCATAAGACCAACGGCAAATTATGGAAATGTTATAGTTATAGTTATTTTGATACATGCATATTTAGTAATCATCAGTCTCATATTCCACAAGTTAGGCATTTTGGTATGTCCAGCAAATTCATTCCAGCCTTCGGACTTTGGGTAGGAGTCTTTGAGAAGCTCTGAAGCGAAGCTGCAGGAGTCCTACCGAAAGTTGGAAGAGCCACTCAGATCAGCGGATCGGGGGAGCTGGTGCAGCCACCAAGGAGTTTTAAATATTCCGAACTGAATCACAACCTTGAAGAGCTAGGAATCTGTATCCAGCTTCCCAACCACCATGATAATGAGCGGATCGAACTTTTTCCATGTTCTTCTCAGCAATTGAACCACTCAATTTGTCTAATCTTGCAAACCCAACAATAAACCAGGCTCCAACATGACCATAAATGGTTGGTATAAACATGTACGTTCCATCCCAAATGGTAGGTTTATGGCATTGGGTGTACCACATTCTTCCAATTGTCCATTCTTCATCCATTCTTGTTGGTTATACCATGTTATACCCCCTATTGTTAACAACGATTGCCCATTCTTGACCATTCTTTACCATGTTCAACCAATTCTTAACCATTATTGTTGCTTATAGACCCATTATCAACTATGATTAACTATGATTAACCATTTGTAGCCACTATTAGTCTAACATTATTAGCCATTGTTGGCTATACCCCCATGATCAACCATGATTAACCATTGTCAAGCATAGAACAACTGCGGTGCATTGCCAAGGACTGAAAGCACTTGGCGTCAACGTCACTCTGCCCTGCAGCGGCAACTGCAGCGCACTGAGCGGCAGCTCTCGGTTTCGGCAGCGCTGTGACAAAGAAATCAAGGAACAGGTGTGCCATGGGAATCTCGGAAATCAAAGCCGTTTTACTGTACATCATATATAATCCCCGTTGGGGGTCCCTGGCTGAAAACCATAGCCCGGAGACCCATGGTTTTCGCCCAATGACAAGGGCGAAGAACCTATCCAGCTTTATATCAACATATATATGATATCTAGTGCCCCATGTTTTCAGCCTTTTCACATTTTTATCTTATATCTTAGGGTTCTAGGTTTTTAGCCCGGGAACATGGTGATTATAAAAAATCATGTTATTGTGGTGACCCAGGTTTTTCGCCTTTAGAGGACAACTAGTCCAACATGTTGTGCCCACGTTTTCGACCCAGATGATGATGATGATGATGATGATGATGGTGATGATGATGATGATGATGATGATGACGATGATGATGATGACGATGACGATGATGATGCAAGATTAGAAATCACACATATGTCTCACATCACAAACATGAAGGAAGATTTTGAAGAGGATGCGTGAGATGTTGAAAGATCTTGGTTGTAGATTCAACTTGGGTTGAAGTCAGAAGCTGTCAGCACTCCGGGGTGGAGGTGGGCGCAGACTTTGGAGTGAAAACCTTAGGGCCGTGGGTCAAGACTTTTCCTTGTGTATCTTGTGTCAAACAAATCTAGAGCGACCATGATGATTCGATAAAATTTTTGTTCTCCCCCACAAGATTGAATAGCGGGGCTAAAAACCTGGGGGCTGAGATCTTGGTTGTAGATTCAAATGGGGTTGAGGCCAGAAGGTCAGCACTCCGGGGTGGAGGTGGGCCTAGATTGCGGAGTGACAAAGCTCGGTTAAACCATGGTTTGGGAGCGGGGTCGTGGGGATAAAGAAAAAGGTGCTTTTGTAGTACCTGCGGTTTTTGGCCTTTTGTTGGGTTTTATGTTGATATGTTGGGACCTAGGTTTTTCCCGTTGGGCAGCCTTTATCTTAAAAATATCCGAAATGTAAGGTACCCCTTTTCAAACATGAACCTTGGTTACTAGGGATACTGCCCGTTTTCTGGCGGAAAACCTTGGCTCCGGGTGGAGAGGTGCACCCCACGGGGATATATATATGATATATAATATTATATTTATGACATTTTATGACACATACGCAAATGTTGTAGTGTGTCATATATTCGTGATCATTTTGATGCACTGAAGAATTCTTTGTGAGCAACGCCTTCAAGACGGCCGAGGGCGACTAAAATGCTGTTGGTCAAAGTTACCAGCGTTGGGGTTGCCTGCGACCCAGCACCGGGGTTCAGGTCATGGGCGCGTCCCGCGCGTTTTGTCAGAAGTTTGGGGATGGCTTTGAGAAGCCATGGGAATGGAAGATTCTGGAAGCTGGACACAGTGAAACTCAGTGAGCATAGCAACTGGTGCTTGATCTAATGTTTACTTTATATTGATGTTGCACTAATTCATGTTTTTTCCTCCTTTGATTCGCTTTTTGTGTAGGCACAGAGACTTAATAGCTTGTCTGCATTGATTCCAAGAACTCTTCACGGAGCTTGCAAAAAGGACCAAAATGAAATGGTCTCAAATCTCGATGGTAGGCCTTTCTCGGTTTTTCAAGTTTCCGACATCCAATGCAAGCTTGCAGAGTTGCACGTTTTGCAACCTGTGGTGTCAGAGTTTTGTGTCTTCAGCACTCGGAAACTTAATAACCAGGACCCAGAGTCAGAATTTCGAATTACACTGCGGCTGCAGCGAAATACCGTAGTGGCCGAAGTGTGTGTATTTATTGCCAACGTCTCGTAGACTTACCGCAGTGGTTCTGTGATTCGAATTTGCCGTGTCACTTTGCTTCTGCGGGTGTCGATTAAAAAATACCGGGAGTCTATCAGTTTCTGTAACCTTGGAGGTTGATGCTCGTCATTTTATATGCTAGTACTGCAGCTGAGGAGAACAGCAGATGTTATAGTTTAAACCACGCAAAACATCATATGTTTTCAAGTCATAGAGTCGCTGTTTCCTTTTCCACTCGATTCGAGCCATGTTTTTTATAAGCAGCCGGGAGATGTGCCACTGATCCATGCGAATCACAAGATAGATCTACAGAATCAGCACATTAATGAAGACTCCTCTGCCGGGCATCTGAGAGGCTCGTGACTGTCGTCACTTTTTAAACAGTTTCTAGGGGGGAATTGTAAAGGCTCAAAAACGAAACTTTAGTATCGTCAGCAATATCAACATCATCATCATCATCATCATCATCACCATCATCATCATCACCATCATCACCATCATCATCATCATCGTCATCATAGCAGCGTAGCGTGACGTATGTGTGGAAGTGCAAGAGAACCTACAGCAGTGTAGCATGACGTATGTGTGGAAGTGCAAGAGAATCTACCGCAGCGTAGCATGACGTATGTGTGGAAGTGCAAGAGAACCTACAGCGTAGCATGACGTATGTGTGGAAGTGGAAGAGAATCTACAGAAGCGTAGCATGACACATGTGTGGAAGTGCAAGAGAACCTACAGCATAGCATGACGTATGTGTGGATGTGAATGCAAGATAGCGTACAGATATGTTGCATCACATGTGTGGGAGTGCAAATGACGTTATTATCCCACCCCACCCCGCCACCCCACCCCCACCCCACCCCACCCCACCCCCCCACACACAATGTTATTTTCATAGTAGAATGCAAAAAAACCACCCCCCCACACACAATGTTATTTTCATAGTAGAATGCAAAAAATGACAACAGTCGCGAGCCTCTCAGATGCCCGGCACCAAAAACATAGTTTATGGCTGAGAATAGTGTATGCTGTTGTGCCCCCAAACTATCATTTTTCATGGGGAAAATGATGATCCATCGGAATTGGGGTAGCCCATTTTCAGACTTAAATCATTTTCATCATCTTAAACCCATATAATCATATATGGAGGTTTCCTAAAATGGGGGTAGCCCCAAATCATCCAAGTCATTAGACAATTTTAGTTGAATCCCATTGTTTTGGGGTACCCCCCACTTTAGGAAACCCCCATATCAAGAAAACATCATTCTAACTAATGGTGATGGGGCCCCCAATTTCATAAACCGTAAACCATCCCCAGGCCCCATCAGCAAAAAAAATTGTGGGCTGGAGCCAATATACCCCCAATATGAGCCACTATACAATTAATCATGAGCCACTATTTATCGAACATTATTAAGCACTGTTGGCTATACCACCATTATTAACCATGATCACCATGATCAACCACTGTTAGACATCATCACCAACTCTCCCTACAGATTTGCGACTCATTGGTATTGAGCCAGGCCCGTGCTGCTACCTATGGCTTTGTGGCTGAGCTGCCCAAGCACATCTATGGCGATCGGCCAGAGGTGGCGATCCTTTGGTTTTTTTTTCGCCGGAAACCAGCTCTTTTTCGCAGGAACTATATGGGGTTTCATGGGGGTTCTTGTAAATCGTTCCTTTATCACTTTTTGTGAATTTAGGGAAAGTTGCGGGAATCTTGAGTTTATTTTGTGGGCGAAATGGGAAATTAATGGACATGCATACAGCCTTGCATCCGTTTTTTGGGTCATTTTTTTGAACTAGTCTGGATATCGGTATGAAATGATGAGCACTGATAAAGCATTCCTGTCGTGCTGAACCTTAGTGCAACGCATTGACACAATGGCCTGTAGGTTGTAGTGTAGTGTTCCAGAAAACCCTGTCGTATTCCTTTAAACACACCCCACCTTATTCGCAACAGCACGTGTGGAGCTCTTGAAACTAGCGGTTCAAACTCCCGCTGATTTTCACCGTATTGAGCATGGGAAAAAACCATAAAAAACCTCCAAAGCCCGCCAGTCGAAGCGAACGCCTTTCTGTGTGCGCCTACTTTCTCCTGATCTCATTGCGTCCGAGGACTGGGAAAAAATGGGTGTAGTGGATGCTGGTGACAAAGCTCCAAGGAACTGACACACTGACAGTCTGACAGTCTCACCCCGTGTCTGTTCTTGTCCCAAACTGATCAATTCTTGGATCATTTGGATCTGGGCAGAAACCATTGCTGGCTTCAGCAAGCCTTTTTCTCTAAATCGATTTTCTCTTGCGATTTGTCCAGTCAGTGAGGATACGAAGTCCTGGGAGCTTGAGTACAGTTTGAGAGAGATCCGCACGGCCACCATTCGCCAGGTGCACTCATGCAGCACCGGCCCTTTTGGTCAAACAACCAAATATGGTGCCATTCAATAGTGGTCAAACGTCATCAAACAGTACCCTCTGGTAAACTAACATAACTATGGGAAATCACCATTTTTAATGGGTAAATCCACTGTAAATGGTGATTTTCCATAGTTATGTTAGTTTACCAGAGGGTAACAGCCCCAAATATCCCATAAATATTTTGTGATGCTCATGGGAGGATTATTTTTTTGAGAGTCTAAGGATCAACAGCAGTTCCCTGCATATTTCAGCGGGAGGCTGTTGAGGCTGACTTGGAAGGTCTACGAAAATCCATCTCGAATGGCAAGTGCAGGGGCTCAGGTGATTCCGAACGGTTAGATTCTGAAATGCAGAAGAATCACATTGGAGACCTTGGCATCGTGTTTGCAATCCATCCTGCTCGAGTTGTTCATACTGTAAATTTGATCTTATTTGCAGGGTGGAACAACACGAAACTACAGTGGACACACCAAAAAGGTCTTGCCGCTTGCCCATGCAGCGCTGAGGTGGGATGACCTGACATGAGGCCATGGGAAAACGATGTGTTTGCATCGGAAGTCAGGTCCCCATGAGGCGTCAGGAGAGGCGTGAAAACAGCGGGTTTGGCAGGTACCAAATGACCAAATGATCTGAGACCTCACAGCGATTGTTTTTTCTTGGAGATCCTAGGAAGGCAGATTTTGGATGATTTTGGATGATTTTGGATCATCTGGATCAACCTTTTTCAATCCCAGCCACTTGGCGGAATTCGTAATCCTTTGATTCGGTTCAGCTATCCCTTCCTGGGTACGCGGTCTGCTGGGTCGCCGTGTGCTGATGAGCGCCACTTGACCTGTGATGATCAAGCTGGCCGGCCCTGGTTTCACTTGCTAGGCAGTTGGGGTTCACCTGTTGATCTTCACAAAGTACGAGACTGATTCAGACTGCACATTTGCACATCTGGCACCGCACTAGGAATGAAGTTTTTGTTTATGGAAGTTCGTTGTGTGGGATTGCATGGGGTGTGGAAGAAAGAAATCCTTTGCCATGATTCAAGATATTCAAGACTTTCTTTCTCAAAGAGTCTTCAGGGGCTGTATGCACCCTTGCTGCATCCAAAGTGTATCGAAGCATCAAAAGGTTTTTGCAGGGGTGAATTCTGCGAATTCAAAGTGCAAGCTGTAATCCATGCTTTCTTGCACAGCATGACTGCAAGCACACGAGCAAGCATGCTAGACATCATCAGGAAAACCATGGGTTCCAAGTTCTACTGGCTCCAAGTATCCCAACCAGACAGAAACACAGTAACTCACCTGTTGGCTTTGTCTTTCACTCGTGCTGTCAAGATTTTCAGGCAGCCACTGAGCTGTCGTACAAATCGCATCTCCCATGAGCATCCAAACAACGACACTAAAAAGATTCGAGAGCCTGATTTTGCTACCTAGCCCGGGGATGCACAGCAGAGCCATCCTACGGCCATTTCGTTCCATAGATCCGCCGGCAATGAGCTGTCGTTTTGTCATGACTGCCGGGATCCAAATAGCAAAAAACAGATCTTTAACTTCTGTGGCTAGAGAAATTTCAACCATATCCGCTTCAACATAGGCCAGCTCCAGTTGTTGGAATGTACTGCTTCCGGACCTTTTCATGAGACATATATAATTTATGTGGGGTTAGAGGTGATCATTTAGCTACAAACCAATCCTATCCCCAATCCCAAACCAATCAGATGCCCCTTGGGCACATCAGTCATTGCCAGCTCGCGACGTGCGAAGCATGTCGCAGCACTGGATCCATGGCCGACCAAATCCTGCTGCAGCACTTCACTGCTGCAAGTTGCACAGCAAGTGGCCTGGGTGGTCAGGTGGCCAATGAGCGACAAGTGCGAGGTGAAAGTTGATCTTTGACATGGTGAGATTCAAGATCTATTGAATTTATTGATTCATCTTGATCTTGACCTGTCTTGACTAAAATGTCATATCAGACAAAATCAGAAGAAAGATAGGGGCGAGTAATGGACGTATCAGTAGACGCAGTGGGGCCGTCCCCAAAAGTCACTTTTCCGCCTCGATCTTGGTGTAAAGGGGCCGAGCCATCAATGCCGTGCCGCTGAACGCCACAGCCATTACGGAAACAGCCGCAGTTGGCAAACCTGGTTATGGCTCTATGCTCAGGTGGTTTTGGCACCAAAGAGTCAGTTAAGAAACGCCAAAAAGGGATCGAATATCATAGATCATTATACTCGTAGATCATCACCCAACCTGTGGCCTCCTTGAACTGCAATTTTAGGGCCATACCCATTTCGTTCTCCTTCGGAGTACTGCACGTGTACAGCAGAAAGTTGCGTCTGCGGTTCCTGAGAAATTCGTTTGCAGAAAAGTGGCCGAGTTGTAGCCAAGCGTCGTTCAACGACTTGTGACACTCGTGATCCATCCCTGAACTTTGGTATTGTAGCCGACAAGTACATATTCAATCGTAGCCATCGAGCAATCAGTAACTGCACTTGAATCATCAAGAAATTGTCATCTGGGCCAGCAGCCCCACCAGGATTGGACCGGCCTGACCCATCCAAGACCACCTGAACTCTTGGCTCAAGTTGAAACTTAGCTGAGATGCCACTGGACATGAAAAACTAAGAACCAAGGCCAATGGAAGACTCTTACCATGTGGTACATGTGCTACATGTGGTACATGCTTGCAGAATCTTGCTACCGCAACAGACATAACAGACCCACAGAGCGGCCCAGCACCCAATCCCAAGCCCCCCAGCTTCGCCCCCTGCGCCCGCGACAACTTAGCTGGATGGATCCTCGGTCGGCTAAAAACGGCCGGCAACCAAGAGAGATTGCTGCCACAATGGGAACATGCCAATTTACATTGCATTGTTATGGAACATCAATGAACGTCATGGATAATCCATGAGCATCACCCACATTTTTGATTAGATTTTTTTCCCAGTATTTTTCTTTTTCTGGCATGTTTTCCCATAGTTTGCATATCTATGGTTTTCTGCCAATGGTCAACCTGCAGCTTGGAGTCCTCTGTGTGCACCATAAAGATAGTTCCTTCCACATGGGGATTCTGGCTCCTGACATTCAGAACCACAACCCAAAACAGTTATCTCTGGGTTGATAACCATATACAGTGTATATCAAAGTAACATAGACCCGGGCAAGCCGGCGGCGGAAGTTTCCCAAACATAAATGACCTATAGTTCAAAGACAACCTGTCCCGACCGTGTCCTTCCCTCGACACTCCACACCTCACACTGCACACTGCACACTGCACTCTTCGCACTCCAAACTTCAAACTTCACACTCCACACTTCACACTCCACATTTCTCACTTCTCACTGCTTCCTTCACACTCCAAACCTCACACTTCATACTTCACACTTCACACTGCACACTTCACACTTCACAGTCCACACTTCACACTTCACACTTCACAGTCCACACTTCACACTTCACACTTCACAGTCCACACTTCTCACTTCGCACTCCACACTTCACAGTCCACACTTCACACTTCTCACTTCACACTTCTCACTTCTCACTGCTTCCTTCACACTCCAAACTTCACACTTCTCACTTCGCACTTCACACTTCGCACTTCACACTCCACACTTCACACTTCTCACTTCACACTTCTCACTTCTCACTGCTTCCTTCCCACTCCAAACTTCACACTCCAAACTTCACACTTCGCACTTCACACTCCACACTTCACAGTCCACACTTCACACTTCTCACTTCTCACTGCTTCCTTCCCACTCCAAACTTCACACTCCAAACTTCACACTTCACACTCCTCACTTCGCACTTCACACTCCACACTTCACTCACGCTTCACACTTCACAGTCCACACTTCACACTTCTCACTGCTTCCTTCACATTCCAAACCTCACACTTCACACTTCACACTTCACGCTGCGCTCTTCGCACTCCACACTTCACAGTCCATACTTCACACTTCTCACTTCACACTTCTCACTTCTCACTGCTTCCTTCACACTCCAAACTTCACACTTCTCACTTCGCACTTCACACTCCACACTTCACAGTCCACACTTCACACTTCTCACTTCTCACTGCTTCCTCCCCACTCCAAACTTCACACTCCAAACTTCACACTTCACACTTCTCACTTCGCACTTCACACTCCACACTTCACTCACACTTCACACTTCACAGTCCACACTTCACACTTCTCACTGCTTCCTTCACACTCCAAACCTCACACTTCACACTTCACACTGCGCTCTTCGCACTCCAAACTGAAACTTCACACTCCACACTTCACACTTCACAGTCCACACTTCTCACTTCTCACTGCTTCCTTCTTCACACTCCAAACCTCACACTTCACACTTCACACTGCGCTCTTCGCACTCCAAACTGAAACTTCACACTCCACACTTCACACTTCTCACTTCCCACTGCTTCCTTCACACTTCACACTTCACACTGCACTCTTCACGCCCCACACTTCACACTGCTCTAAACGTACGTCCAACAAAAAAAACCCTAGTGCCAAAATGGAGAAAATCTGCTAACAAACCCATTTGGCAGCCTTCATGCAGCCACTCCAATACGATTTCCGAGATCCAGCTGCAAAAGACAATAGTATATTACGAATGCAGCCACAGCACGAAGCAACCTTGACGCAGCCATTACAATGCGATCTGCGGAGACTGGGTTGCAAAACACAATAGAACTACGCGCAACGGCGTCGGAAATTGTAGCTCCAAAACCGGATCTCGACGCCAGAGCGAAAAAAAGACGATTTTGAAGCACTTTTAAAAAGGATTTTTAGAAGGAAAATCACTAGCGCCAAAATGGAGAAAATCTGCTAACAAATCCATGTCGCAGCCTTCATGCAGCCACTCCAATACAATTTACGAGATCCAGCTGCAAAAGACAATAGTATTACGAATGCAGCCACAGCACGCAGCAACCTTGACGCAGCCATTACAATGCGATCTGCAGAGATTGAGTTCCAAAACACAATAGAACTACGCGCAACGGCGTCGGAAATTGTAGCTCCAACTTTTTAAAAGGATTTTTAGAAGGAAAATCACTAGCGCCAAAATGGAGAAAATCTGCTGACAAATCACTGTGGCAGCCTTCATGCAGCCACTCAAGTACGATTTACGAGATCCAGCTGCAAAAGACAATAGTATTACCAATGCAGCCACAGCACGAAGCAACCTTGACGCAGCCATTTACACTGCGGGAACCCATCGGCAACTCATCCACCAGCAGCACTTGCAATCCCATTTACATTGCGGGAACGATCCTAGAGTTGCAAATCACAATGGAATTCCATCGGCAACTCATCCACCAGCACCACTTGCAATCCCATTTACAATGCGGGAACGATCCTACAGTTGCAAATCACAATGGAATTCTGTCGACCGCACATGCACGAAAAACACTTGAAACCCCATTTACAATGCGGAACCGATCCGAGAGACGATCGAGAACGATCTCGACCCAACACACGAGACCGTCTCGCACCAGTCGCACCGCAGAGGTGAGATCAT